TGTGTGTTAGCATGCTAGTTACTGGGCTGTGGTCTGTGGAAGCTCTGAGAAGTTCGTATAAACTCAGCGTGGGGACGCTCTGTTTTCATGCTGTTAATGCTGCAAAAATCAGGTGGAGAGATGTTAAGAAAAGAGAAAGACTCCAGGTGGGTAAAGTGTCTTGCTCATGGGCACAACGGCAGAGGGACGCACTGGTCTGAGCTTGAACCACCAACCCTGCGGTGAGCGGGTGAAGAGCTGCACACCGCCACAAACACAGAGTCACCATGTTTACACTTTCAACTGTCTCACCGTTCACTAAAGGTGCACTGTGGAACTTTTCTGTTGTAGACAAGGATACTGCTTTGTCTGGAAAGTTCCACGGTGTGGCATTAAGTGTATCAGGCCAAGTCACAGCTCAGATCTGTGGAGACACCGTCCCAGCACAGTAAAGATGCAGGATTTGAAAGATATTTGAAAGTGTATACAAACAAAAAGAACAATATGCAAATAAAAATACAACACAAACACTTTAATGCCACACTGCGGAACATTCCAGACACACTGATGACATCGCCGTGGAAACAAGCAGAGCCGCCTCACTCAAAACGTGACATAATGGGCTCTGATGACAACTTTCTTTGGGCCTCGTTTGGCGACAAAATCTGCGAAAACAGAAAATGTCCCTTTTTTTTTCTTCGTCTAGACGACAGAGTGTTTTCTTTTTCCTTTTATACACTGTCTTTTCATTTGTGTAGAGGGACGGAGGGAGAGAGGGAGGAGAAAGAGACGGGAGAGAGAGAGAGGAGGAAAGAGAGAAGAGAGAGGGAGGAGGAGAAAGGGAGAGTGAGAGGGGGACGGAGGAAGAAAGGAGGGAAGGGAGGAAGAAGACATGGGGGGAGAGGGGGGAGATTTTTCCCATGGGTTTGAGCAAAAGGGGCTGGAGAAAGGGAGGAAGGGAGAGAGACAGAGAGAGAGAGAGAGAGAGAGAGAGAGAGAATGGAGAGAAAGAGGGAGAAAGAAGACATGGGGGGAGGGAGAGGGGAAAGAGGGAGAGGAGGGAGAGAGGAAGGGAGTAGACCGTATCGTATCGGCAATTTCTGAACGATACCAGCCCTAAATGACATTTTTCTCTCTCTCCTCCCTCTCTCTTCTTCTCCTCTTCTTATTCTTTTTTTTTTTTTTTTTCCTTTGGTGTTTTGTAGGATTTTAAGTCATGAGTGATATAATAAATGAATTGTTAAAAGTCAAAGTCTCTTCTTCTCCTCTATTCTCGTCCTCTTCTCTCTCTCCCCTCCTCTTCCTCCCAACGCCTCCTCTCTTCTCTCTCCTCTTCCTCCTCTTCCTCCTGTCTCCTCCTCTCTCCTCCTCTCTTCTCTCTCTCTTCTCTCTCTTCTCTCTCTCTCTCTCTTCTTCTCTCTCTTCTCTCTCTTCTTCTCTCTTCTTCTCTCTCCTCTTCTTCAGCTCCGAGTCTTGTGATTGGTCGGAGCTGAACACAGATTTTGAAGGATGGAACTTTCGGGAAAACCTTGAGTCGTTTGGGTTTAAAACTTTGAAGATAAACGTTAAAACGGTCCAAATGAAAACGAGTGATGTGAGAGGTTCATAAACGTCGTGCGGCGAAGTCGAGTCTTTCAGTCGACGTCCAAAACCAAATGATTCTGCTTTTAAACCATCCACATTTGGGATTGAGATGCACCACAGGACGCCCCGAGTTTCTTTAAACGCTTCTGTTTTCTGGTATCATGTCTCAACTCACATTATTAAATTAGAATACAAATTTTAAAAAAAAGAAATAAGAAATAAATAATAAATAAAAGGTAGAAGAAAAAGTAAGAAGAAAAAAATTTGAATAGTAAAATATGAAATGGATAATAAAAAAATGAAAAGAAAAAAGTTAGAAGAAAAAAATGTATACAAATATTTGGAATGAAAAAGTTCAGAGATGTATGTATATTTTAGGATTCTAGATTATATAGTGTGAATGCAGTGTGTGTGTGTGTTGTGTGAATGTTGTCTTTGTCTCTTTGTCTTTTGTTCTGTTTTGATTTGTTTTTTTCTTTCTCTTTTGTAAATGCTGCTTTTGTTAATGTATTAGGGCCAACGAGACGCTACATCTCAAGGGGCTTCCCTTATGAATAAATAAATTAAAAACAATAAAATAAAATGCAATAAAATTAAATTAAATTAAATGCAATAAAATAAATCAGTCTGTCTGTTTAAAGCGGGACATGTGTCATTGTGCTGTTTGGAGACATGATGGACACAACCCTGAACATGGAGCAGAGAAAGAGAAGAAGAGAACTTGTCAGGAGACTAGAAAGAAAATGACAGACAAGCAGGATAAAGATAAAGACAATAAGACCATCTCCAAGCAGTGTGACGACAAATACAAGACATGGATCATACAAATGGAACCAAAGTGTCCAGAACAACCTCCAAACAAATGAAATGTGAACTCGAAGGGCAAAGTACATGAGTGTCAGATCACACCATCCATCAGTGTTTGAACCAAAGTGGACTTCATGTGAGGACACCACTGCTGAGAGCAAATCATAAAAAAGTGAGACTGGAACAAAATCTCAAAACTATACCAGAAATGTGTTGCCTAGTGTCAGAAAACTCGGTCTCAGTCGTAGGTCATGGGACTTCCAACAGGATAATGACCCAAAACACACAGTGAAAAACACACAAGAATGACTAAAAACAAAACACTGGACTGTTCTGGAGTGTTCTTCTGTTCTGGAGTGTTCTTCTGTTCTGGAGTGTTCTTCTGTTCTGGAGTGTTCTTCTGTGAGTGACTTTACATGTACATCAGTATCCCGGTTTCTTCATGGTGCATGTACACACAGTACCCTGGTTTCAGTATCCCGGTTATGGCAGTATTGGTTATTAGAAACCGTGATACTGTAGCTGGTATATTCCAATAGTAACAGGATACTGTGACATGTACACGCAGTATCTGGTTACTGCAACATAAAGTTGAGTGTGCATGCGTCCAAAAGACAAACACTTTCCAGTCTTTTCACCACAACAGTGACATAAATGACCATAAGTGACCATACATGAGTGAAGTGACTGCACTAAACCTGCACACATACAGTGTGCACTTGTATGACCTGCACATGTGTGATCCCTGAGAAGTTAAACATGAAACATCTCCTCTACGATACACACACAGAACACACTCCCCATCATCAGCCACTCCTCTGTCACAGAAAAATAAAACATATAATCCACTCAGTCGTGTCCTTTAGTCCGACAGAAGCTGAACCGTGTCAGCGGCACAAGGAGCAGCTGTTTTTATCACCGCTAAAAGTTTATGCAAATGAACCATGCGGTTTTAAATTTCATTTCTGTAAAACGTAAAGAAATGTGGCAAAGCTGAATTATATAATCAAACGGGCTGATGTGGTTATGTTTTATATGTTCTAAAGTTGAGTTTATTTATACAGAATATTTTAATAAAAAAACTACACTTTTGGTTTGATGTGTGCAGTGGATTGTGGGATACCTCAAAGCCCTGTACCTCTGATTAGAACCTCCCGAGCTTCCGACGCTAAGGAGCTCATGGTTGTTTGTAGTTTTCCTGGTTTATTAAATTAAATAAATCTTTGCACATTTGTAAGATTATACCAAGAAACCAGGATACTCCATTTCATCATGTACACACCAATATGAGTATCCCAGTTTCTCAGTGCGCATGTACACGCAGTATCCTGAATACTGATATCACCGGGATATGGTGAATAATCAGTGTTGGGGAGTAACAGATTACATGTACTGGAGTTACGTAATCAGAGTACAAATTATGAGTAACTGTATTCAGTTACTCATAACTGACTCATAACCCCCCCCCCAGGTCTAAAACCAGGTCCAAACCAGGATTGAACAGGACTAAATCATGCTGCACGGACCATGTCTCCTTCTCTTCTATCAATAATATTTTTACTACCATTAAGTAAAGACTCATCTTTTCTTTGTCTTTTATCAGATAAAACATCTCATGTTAATATTTCCTCGTCTTTGTTTCTCTACAGCAAACAAAAGCCACTTCATGGAGACTTGGACTCAACAGCCAATTTGAAGAGAACAAACAAGAATTTGCAGGATGTGGTTGTTACATTCATGTAGTTTTAAAAAGCACGACAATATCAAGTAATCCAAAGTATTCAGATTACATTACTCACTTTAAGTAATTTAATGGATTACGTTACAAACTACATTTTGGGGTATGTAATCTGTAATCTGTAGGTGATTACATTTTAAAAGTCACCTTCCCAACACTGCTAATAACTGAGATACTAATGTGCATGTAAACACACTGTGAGCCCAGATCTCAATCCTACTGAAACATGCATCTGGAGAAGGAACCTTCAAACCTGAGACTAGAACCGTTTGCTCATGTGAAATGGGTCAAAATACCTGTGCTGTACCAGTACAAAAGTCTCATTGACAGTTACAGAAATAATTTGTTTTTTGTGTAGTTTGCCTCAAAAAGTTTGTGTAACAAAATATTAAGTTCAAGGGAACCATCATTTTTGTCCAGGCCAGTTTCATGATTTTGTTTTTTCTAATAATTCTGTTGAACCACAGGTGAAAAGAAATGTTTGATGTTTGTTGGACAATTTTCAGTAAATTTTTATTTATTATTGCTTTTCTCAATTTCAAGTTATTTCAGTGATGATTGCTGATTTTTATTTCATTGCCTGAGGGGAACCAACAATTTTATCCACGACTGTACTGCACACACAGCTCTTCAGCTCAAAATAAATCCTCTGTGTTCTGTCTGCATCTCATTATAAAGCGTTTTACTGTCTGAGAATCAGGATGTGTGTGTTAGCATGCTGGTCTGGTCTGTGAGAGTTGTGGAAAGTGCTTCTAAAGTCATCGTGGTGAGTAAGCAGGACGCTCTGACTGCAGAAGGTGAGTGAGGAAGAACTCTGGACCTCGGCACACTGTTTTTCACCTTTTTAAAATAGTAAATATCAGGTACAGCAAATTTAAGACCAAAAACAACATGTTTAGAGACAGTTTATGAAAGATATGAAAATACAATAACATAATAATAACAATAACAATTTGGCAGAAAAACGATATGATGCTCAGTCTGTTGCACTTTGACCAAAACATACAGGCACGTTTCAGATCAAATCATAAGACTAAATATTGAGAAGTGATTTTTATAGAGAGTTTGAAGTTATTTTGCAGATGTTTATGTTTTTGCCAGTTTTTGTTTCATGTGGATAGGTCCAGAAATGACAGAGATATTAAAGGTCTCATATCACACTGTTCTCTGGTCTGTTCTGCTGCAGTTTCCTCAACACAAACACACCTGCAGTTGTGTTTGGTTTCATTCACACATGTTTAACACACATAGAATTCTTCCCTTTAAACAGAAATAACTCTGTTCCAGCTTGTGATGTCATGTGGTGATACAGGAAGTGCTCCAGGAAGTGCTTTTAAACTCCACACGCCTTCAGTAGAATCATTTGGATCGTTTCAGTCCTGGACTTGCCGATCTCTACTGAACTAAGGCCCCGTCCACACTAGAACTTTTCGAGTCGGTTTGGTTGTGGATGCAGTGTTCGTTCACACTAATCCGATGGAAAACGGCTCCAGAGACGAAACGATCTGATACCGTCAGCTCCCACGAATTCATCTGAGTACAGATCTGATCCAGCACTGTGTGGACGCCTGAAAACACTGATACTCTGATGTAGGACAAAGTAATTCACCGCCAAAACATTAAGACGTTAGAATATATCTGTCCATTCATATAAACGTGTGTCTGTGTGTACGACCTGCACACGTATAATCTCTGAAAAGTTTCACATGAACCATCTCCAACACGACAGAAACACAGAACAGACTCACCATCAGCAGAACACCCCTCTGTCACAGAGAGAACACTCATATTCCACTGAGTCGTGTCCTTTAGTCCAACACAAACTGAACCACATCAGCGCACAAGAGCAGCTGCCATTCGGTTTTAAGTTTTGTAAAACGTAAAAACAAATATGCTCAAACTTGTGTGGATAAGGAAGACTTGCGGACACAGAAACAACGTGTCTGGACTAGAGATGGGCATTTGATTAAATTTTCTTAATCGATCGTCGGGAGAATTAACAATCAATTATCAATTAATCATTAACATTTTTATATTAAAATGATCATTATTATTACTATCTGCACTACTAATCTGCATAAATAAATTCAACTTTACGACATTTAAACCGTAACGACTCTAGAGCCACATCAGCCCGTTTATTATAATGTGTTTAATTCAGTTTTGTTCAAATCTCACAGAAACGAAACTTAAAACCACATCACTAATTTGCATAAACTAAGTGAAGATAAAACTCCAGCTCTTGTGTCGCTGATGTGGTTCAACTTCTGTCAGATTAAAAGACATGACTCAGGTGAATACAGGTCAGTGTGACCAGATTTGTGTTTGTCAAAACCAGGACAGCGTACGGGGGGAGGGGGGCGGGGCCTCGTCATCCACATTGAGCGACTCTCACCTGGCAAAACTTTTTCATGTTTTCGGTGTCCTGGTGAGCTTTTTCCCACTGAACACCAAAACATATGTGTTGTTTTGTACACTGTGCACATGGACTCACACTTGTCCCAACCAGAACGAAAAGTGTGGAATTTCTTGTACAAATCATCGTTAAATCCACATTTGTGCTTCGGTTCGTTACAGACTGACCCACTGTTTGTGTCTCGCTCCTTCTGATGCAGAGACACATGTATGGACCCCTGTTTGTCCCTGGACATGGACATTTGGTCTCCCTACGCTACACACAGCGACCTACGTTTGGTTTGTCGATTAAAATGAACGTAATCGATGAAATTCTTAATGATCAATTATCGATTAATTGACTAATCATGCCCAACCCTAGTCTGGATGCAGATCGTTTCCGATATGGTGATATGGTGATAAAGTCATTTGTAGATCCACTTCAGTGTAAATGTAGTCTAAAGGTAAAAGGAGCTGTTCATTTGAAAACTACCGCTTCATGACATCACAAGGTGGAACAGAGCGTTTTAAGCATTGGAGATGTAAACAAATTAATAAATAAATAATAAAGAGTTACTCAAACATGTGAATGAAACAAACACAACTCCAGGTGTGTTTTTGACGAGGGAACAACATTAGAACATGACTTAAAGCTCATAAGAGTCACTTTTGTGTGATATAGAACCTTTAAACATAAACCAGCTCAACAAATCTGCAATGTGACAGTTACACAGAAAATTCCATCACAGAATCCTGACCGGACTCCAGCTCTGTTTAAATTCTACGGATTCTGGAATGTTGTGGCTGCGTTCACACAACAGCCTTCCCTGCAAATTCCCACATCAAAAAATGCAGGTTTCTCAGTTCAGTCTCTGGTCACACGTGACTCTGATCTGGAAAACTGCAAGTAAACTCCCAGGATTTTGTCAGGATAATAAACCCGATTTCAAACCCGATTCCGACACCACGAAGATAATAAAAAAAAGTCTCTTTCTTTAGATAATACAATGTCCACATTAAATGGTGGCACTTTCTCTTCTGTTCCCATGTGTCTTTATATGTGTGTAATCCCTCAGTGGTCCAGGTCTAAACCAGGTCTAAACCAGGACTAAACCAGGTCCATGGGCGTATTCTAGTCTGTGCTCTTATAATTCTTCTGATACCACCCAGAATCTCATTGAATTCAGGAAAGGTTCATTTCTCTCCTGCAAACTGGACTTTTTTAGTATCGATACCTGCGATAAATGAGGATATAGTTTCGATACTAGTTTAAGTATCGATGAGTGTCTGATTTTTGATACATTTGACAGCTCCTGGGTCAGACTGCATGTGTCCGTGTTTTTTTTTGGGGGGTATTTTGTGGGTTAGTCGCCCACGTCGCTGTCCTGGTCCCCGATGAGCCAGAGGAAGTGGAAGCTGAGCGCGAGCAGAGCGGTGCCCAGCAGGTCCCCCAGAGCCGTCAGGTACGGGATGGAAAAACTGTCCGGGTCTTTACCGCTGCGCCACATGGAGTGAACCATCCAGTCTGAGATACACAACAACAACAGCACCTGCAAGACAAGACAGAGAGAAAGTAAATATAAAATACTACATGAAAATACACAACAACAACAACAATAACAACAGTAGCAGCACCTGGAAGAGGAGAGAGAGAGAGAGAAGGTAAATATTAAAACCTGCTCCAAAATCACAGGGTCAAACTGAGGGAGCTGCACTCTTTGTGGGAGGAGCAGGTGCTGAGCAAAGCCAAGTGTCTCCTGGCTCAGCCCCTCCATCCTCTGGCTCCTGATTTTATCCTGATGCCTTCAGGGTGTCGGTTTTATGCTCCGATACGGAATTCTAATTCTTTTGTGCCCTGTGCTATTCAATTGTTAAATTCTAAGGGTACAGTTTTATGAAAGTTTTACACTGTAACAACAACAGCAGCAGCAGCACCTGGAAGAGGGGAGGGGGGGAGAGAGAGAGAGAGAGAGAGAGAGAGAGAGAGAGAGAGAGAGAGAGAGAGAGAGAGAGAGAGAGAGAGAGAGAGAGAGAGAGAGAGAGAGAGAGAGAGAGAGAGAGAGAGAGAGAGAGAGAAGGTTAAATATAAAATATGATTGTACTATATGAAAATACACACAACCACAACAGCACCTGAAAGAGAGAAAGAGAGAGAGAGAAAGCAACAGATAGAGAGAGCAATGGAGAGAGAGAGAGACATGAATAGAGAGACAAGGCTAGAGCGAGACGGAGAGATAGATAGACAGAGATGGGGATAGAGTGAGAGAGACAGAGAGACGGAGACAGGGAGATTGAGAGACACAGAGAGAGTGAGAGATGGAGACAAAGAGAGAGGAGAGAGAGACACAGAGATGGGGAGAGACATAGATACAGCGAGATAGAGGGGACAGACAGAGAGATGGGAATAGAGTGAGACACGGAGACAGAGAGGAGAGAAAGAGCGAGACAGATAGAGACAGGGAGGTGGAGAGAGACAGAGAGACAGAGAGATGGGCATAGAGTGAGACAGAGAGAGAGAGAGAAACAGATAGAGAGACATGGACATAGAGACAGCGATAGAGAGAGAGAGAGATAGGGAGATGGGGAGAGAGAGCAACAGATAGAGATAGAGATGGAGAGAGAGACACAGATACAAAGAGACTGAGAGATAGAAATGAGAGAGACAATACTATAGGGAATACTCAATTCCATAGCAATTACAAAACAGAGAGAGAGAGAGAGAGAGAGAGAGAGAGAGAGAGAGAGAGAGAGAGAGAGAGAGAGAGAGAGAGAGAGAAAGCAACAGATTAGGTTAAATATAAAATACAATTCTACTGTATGGAAATACACACACAGACTCATAATGAAGAGTTAGTCAAACATGTGTGAATGAAACAAAACACAACTCCAGGTCTGTGTTTTTGAGGAGGGAACAACATGATAAGACGACTTCAAGCTCATAAGAGTGTGTTTTGTGTGATACAGGAGCTTTAACCCTGACCTCATCATGACTTAGCAAGGACAAAATGGAGGTCCAAATGGAGGCAGTAGAAGTAACAAATCTCGTAGGGGTCCTTCTGAATGTTATATTTAGTTGTTTCCTCTTCTCTTAGGACTCTTCTTTGGACACTTCTTTACAAAGTCCTCCCATTTGTCTGCACTTAGCATCACAACACACTTAAAAATAATACATCACACTGAGATACGACGTTATCCGAGAATCTTTACAAAACAAAGGACTTAAGTTTGCACATTAATCTGGACTGACACCCTCCTCCTCCTTCCGCCATCACATCAAGGCACCAATTTAATTTGTTTAGATCCGACCTATTCTGCAAAATGGACAAAATTAGAACTTTTAATGATGTTCTAGTCGTTTCTTCTCACTGACCCTCTGAAGTTTGTGTTTGGAGTGATTTAATAGCTTATTTTCAAGACGCCAATTTGCCGATCTCCCCGTTTTAAGCTCCACTGGTACAAGCCCACTGTGACATACACTGTGATGTACATTGTGATGTACATTGTAACGTACACGCCCACTGTGACGCCCACTTGTGACGTACACTGTGACGTACACCATGAAGTATACGTACAGTGTGACGTACACTGCGACATTCAATGCGATGTACACTGTGACGTACGTGACGTACACTGTGACGTGACGCCCAATGTGACGCACATTGTGACGTACACCATGAAGTATACGTACACGTTGACATACACTGCGACGTATAATGCGATGTACACTGTGACGCACACTGTGACGTACACCATGATGTACGCTGTGACGTAAACTGTGACATACACTGTGATGTACACTGTGACGTACACCATGAAGTATACATACACTGTGATGTACACTGTGACGTACACCATGAAGTATACGTACACTGTGACGTACACTGCGACATTCAATGCGATGTACACTGTGACGTACGTGACGTACACTGTGATGCCCACTGTGACGTGATGCCCACTGTGACGCACATTGTGACGTACACCATGAAGTATACGTACACGTTGACATACACTGCGACGTATAATGCGATGTACACTCTGACGCACACTGTGACGTACACCATGATGTACGCTGTGAAGTACACTGTGACGCCCACTATGACGTACACCATGACGTACACTGTGACGTAAACTGTGACATACACTGTGACATACACTGTGACGTACACTGTGATGTACACTGTGACGTACACGGCCACTGTGACGTACACTGTGACGCACACTGTGACACCCATTGTGATGTACACGTCCACTGTGACGTACACTGTGATGTACACACCCACTGTGATGCACACTGTGACGTACACCGTGAAGTACACGTACACTGTGACGTACACTGCGACGTACAATGCAATGTACACTGATGTACAATGTGACGTACAATGTGACGTACACTGCGACGCCCACTGCAACGCCCACTGCGACGTACACTGCGACGCCCACTGCGACGTACACTGCGATGTACACGCCCACTGTGACGTACCAGTGTGATGTACACATACACACCCACTGTGATGTATGCACTTCCTTCCCCAGTTCTTAATGGGCGATACTCGTAGAACAGGGCATCATACGTTATTGTTTTGGTCCAAATGTAAAAAAACTAAACTCTGCTCTAGTGTGATGTGCAGCTGTCCACAGGAGAGGCCCACTTTGTTGTCATGACGTTTACGGCCACGTCAGCTCCCATTAGACACCATAGTTTTCCAACTCAGAAGTCAGCACACTTGTTCCTTTTATGAAGTCGTTCTATGGCTGTACTGAGATTTAAAATGTCACAATCAGAACAGAATGATCCATGGGAGTCATAAATTATAACTACAGAGCAGACACAAGCACTGCTTTAAAGGTGCAGTGTGTACTTTTTGGTTGAGGGTCCATCATCTGCTTGTTTTTAAGGATATGTCATTGCTCTGCCTGGAATGTTCCACAGTATGACATTAAACAACTCTACTTTTAATTTTTTCAAGGGTCTGAACAATATGGATTTTTTTTGCAGCTGACATGATACAGATAAAACTGGAAGAGCCGATATAAAAGCCGATATATTTAGTTGAGGTAAAAACTCACTGTAAATCTTCAGTTGATTATAAAACTTAGCTCTGGCTCTACAGGATTTTAAATTGAGTTTGTTTAGGCGACATTTATTGTTATTCTGCCTCTTTATGTCATATTTAAAGACAGGAGGTCGACCTAATGGCATTTTTGCATCACATTCTAGTCAGTAATGAAAGTAAAAACAACCACCATTAGCCTTTAGCGGTAAATGCATGCACGCTGTGGTAATTAATCATGTGCGTAAATGCCGATCATTCACACCTCTGTGCACAGCTCATTTACACATCAGTGCAGGTCCAGTAACATGTACAGACACTACAGTCACTTTACACTAGAACAATGTAAGAAAACAGAGTTAAGAACTAAAAGTAACTCCAAAAACTGACACATTTGTAACAGATCACAAGTCTTCACAAGTAAGTGTCCTTTTAATCCTGACTCAATGCGATACTCCGTTAATATATTATAATCCAACATGTTGACAGCAGCTGTGTGTGTAAACAAGTGCACATCAGTGACATGACTCTAATTTATTCAATTACAGGTGGGTTTATAGCTCAAAAATACCTTGAAAAACTGCGGGCGGGGCTGCCTCTCCACATATCTGACCTGTAACTTGCTCTGGTTTTGTCTCCGTGAAGATAAAAGGTTTAATGCCATACTGTGAAACATTCCAAAGCAATAACATCTCCATGAAGAAAAGCTTTTGACGGTGCCTCCACCAGAAAAGATCCACAGGTTTAAGAAAAGTAATAAACAGGAAATCTCCCAGAGCGTCGGATAAACAAGAGGCAGTAATGAGGCAACCAACTTTCGGATCATTTTGTGTTAGAGATTTGAGAGGGTAAAAGTAGTGCCCTAAAGTGTAAAGTCTATTAAAAGATAAGAAGGGGGCATGAATCAGTCCGAGGGAGCCGTCCAAAGCAGAGGACACGCCAAAAAACAGGGGCACGGGAGTAAACAGGAGCGATGCCAATCTCCAAAAGCAGGAGGATTCAGGGAGAACCACAGGAACATATGCTAAAAGTTCATACTCCTATTTCACACCACAGCCTGGAAAAGGACAGAGCGAGTGTGACATCACCCACAGCGTTCAGCCCCAGTCAAATGCAGCTTGTCGAAGGTAGTAGTTACAGGGGCTAATTTGAAGTAACGCAATCAAACAGTCATACAGGAGCTGCCGACACCACTGGTTTTCACAGCTGTCAGTCAAATCTGTACTTGTAGTGGGAGTGACGCCTGATTGGTCTGTTATTGATGTTCATATTTTGATTTACGGACAAAACAGTGAAATGAAAAGCCCAGGAGCAGGTTAGCGATGTTCACTAGAGATGTCACAATAACTGAAATATCATAATATCGTATCGTCAAAAGTCTCTCAAAAATATGGAGGGCCATAACAATGTATTGAATCTCTATAGATGCGTCAAGAATTTCAGACTTCCAGTCATTGCGCAATGCATACTGGGAAGGATTTTCCAAAAAAGTGAGCATC